GGTGAAAAGCGCCCCATCGATGGTGATACCTTCGACGGTAACAGTAGGAAAAGCGTCCATGACAGAAAGGATGTTAATGTGAGATCTGGTTATATAGAAAAGAAAAATAACATAAACTATTACTGGCAAACTCTTCCTTCTTATAGGCTGGCTTTTTTTTTTTTTTCACTTAGAAGCTAGGCATACTTGTACGAACCGTGCGTTAAGCGAACGCAGAACGGGTAAAGAGAAATCCCATAAAAGCATAGCCCTGTTAGGCTAAATCATCGTTAATCTCCAAATTTGTCACAAATTAGTACCAGTTAGTATCCTCCGATGACCTCATTGATGTATAAAAAATGCATCTTGGTTTAAGAGGCTGAAGGTTAGTATAAGCTTTTCAGTATGGCGCAGTCGGCTTTGCCATACATGCAGCGCCCTGGAATCGGGCTTGCAGGTAACAGGAAAAATTTAGCTACCACTGGGGACTGTTTAAAACGAAATCACTTACACTGCATAACAGAGCATTGACCTCATATCGGGGTTGAACCGTGTTTGAAGTACATGCACCATGGGGCTAGAAGAATAGCGTAATGTCCGTAGGGTAGATAATTAACACACCCCAGATGTAAACTAAGTCCTACACTGACAAGAGTATAGCTTTTTGGTATAAAGTGTAGTTCTTGCGGGTCAGTTTAATCCATAAGTTTCCAGAAACAACCAGAAACCTAAAAACCTAATACAATACCCAATTTTTTGTAGCGATGGTTTGGCGAGAGCATTGCCTTTGGCTAGGATAGATTTCGGCTTTTCCTACCCGGCCGTGCGTCTGTCACTGCAGAGCTTATATTTAAGGGCTGTGTCGGTATTGACCTCGCCTGTGCCAGAAATTGACTAAGTCATAGATGTCACCAAAGTTCGATAAACGTGTGGGAAGTGTGGAGGTGTTTGATTCTGACGGGTATCTTCGGTACCGACGATATTTGGTGGATTGACAAACAGACTGCGGGTCGTAAAATATGAAAGGTACAGTATCTCACACAGAATTGTCCTATTCCCCCAAGCTGAGGGTATTTGCTTTCTGTACATTGCAGTACTCTCAGATTTACATCTACGAGAATCCTCAGTCTGTTGTGTTTGGCAGCTGTTTTATAAGAGTAGGAATGTTTACACCCTTAAAGATATCTCTGAGGGTTGAAGACGTGACTTAGCGGTGTCATCTCTC